TAATAAAGTTTGAATTTCACTCAAAATTCATTGGGATTAAGTAGTATGAAAACTTAAGCGGAAAGCAAAAAAAACAAGAAACGAATAAATAGATGAAACAATGGTGAATATTAGCCACTGAGGATTTTTGTTTCATAATATAGGTTTTTTATTACACATATAACAATCCATAGATTCATCTTCTGACCGCTTATCCTGCAGGGCGGTCTGGAGTCCATCCCAGGCAAAATCGGACGCAAGGCTGGGGGGAACATCCTGGATGGGATGCCAGTCCATCGTACAATCACGCACACCACCAGGCACAAAATCATACACTATGGGAAATTTAGAGACCCCAATTAGTCCAACTGCTTATCTCTGTGCAGCGACAGAAACTGAAGTGCCTGGATTAATACTCAAGTTAATGCACTTTTTAAGTAATAATAATAATAATAGTCTTGTGTTGGCAACGAACAGTAAAACTAAAATATCAATGTAATGCAGCACGATATATGATATATATCTAGATAGATATCGTCTCACATATATATGCCCTATGAATGTTACAACGCTAACTGAATTGGACATGGATCTTTGACGAAATGATCTATTTGATTAATTTCATATTGTGCTTGGGGGTAATAATATGTTGCCCTATTATTTAATATGACGACTAATAAAAATTATGCAATTTATAGTATGCAGAACTTACTATGAAGGTATAAACATGGTCTCACATTTAAAAAAATAAATAAAATATTTTCATGAACATCCGCCGTGGAAGCTCCTAAATAGACCTTCCCCTTCTAATGAGTTCAAGGTGTGAAATAGCTATCTGACAGTTTTCCGTTCTTTTAAGAAGAAAACCATTTTTGTTCATTAGCAATACTTGTTAAATACACAAGAAGTACCCTGTAAGACAGATTTGGGTTACATTTGATTTTGTCCTTATTTTATAGATTTCAATAATTGTCGGGTTCAACCCCAAAGCCTCATTACCACCTTAATGAGGCCCCGTTACTTCGTGACATACAACCGCTCCATCTCATTAAGGAAATTGCTCTTCAATGCTGATTATTTTGTTTGGAACCATAATTATATTTCTTTCGGATAAATCACGGTTTAATCGAGTCCACACGGAGGGCAGCAGCGCTAATTAAAGCATGGGATGCAGCCGTGGATGCTACCTGGATTTGTGGCCGAAGGACGACGCACCTGATGGATCTCAAGCAAGCCTTGACCCGCCACTCTCCTTTCTTCCCCGGGCTGAAACACAACAACTTATTACTTCTAATTCCCCAACTGTCACCAAATCACCTGCACGAAACAAGAATCTAATTTGTTAAGCTGGCATTTCTGCAGATGGAAGATCGATTTTCTCTTTAGATTTCTCTAATTGAGTGAATATAGATGCCCGATGAATTAGATTCACTTGCAGACTTGAAAACGTCAACAGAAATTCTCCTTCACGTTATTTCTACATTCTGCCCCCCCCACCCCCACCCCCAATATAATAAAAGGTGGTAGAGGTAGAGCATCCAGTGACTGACAACCATACTTCTTGATGTTTAAACTCCAGCTTACGCGGGTACTGAAAGCCACAGAACTGCGGAAAGGGACAGAGATTCTCGATCTCTGAAATTGCTTACAGAATTACATTTGTTTTCTTGTGATTTTATTAAAAGTCACTCCACATCTCCAGAAGCCGTGAAAGTATCTACTTTCCACTCAGATACACCACATTAACTTGCAGGGTGCGAATTTGTTTATTTGTCTATTTTTATTTATTTGTTGGGTAAGATTGATGTGATCTTATCAGTATACCTGCCTAGAAAGAGATGTGACTAGATTTCCCCCTTTGTACGCACAATTACAATCTTTTTCGTTTGTTGAAGCAAGTGAATGCGTCTTCTCTAAAGGTTTTTGTGCACACACAAAAACGCTATATATATATATATATATATATATATATATATATATATATATATATATATCCCCTACACAGTTTTGCTTAACTATAAATAATTGCATTGATAAAAAATCCTGAATAAAAATGGATAAAAAGCCCATTTTGTCAGTGATTATGAATAAATAACCAAGAAACAGAAGCACAATGTAGAAAAAAATATAAACTGCATTTTACCTGGTATCATAATAATACATTTATTTTGATAACAGGTAATTCTGGGTGAATATTAAGCAGTTCTACAACAACAACAAAAACAACAACAATAATAACAACAATAATAATTATAGGTATTTTAGTAGCGTATTTTAGCACTGCTATACACCTATACATTGATGCGGTGTGCCGAACGCCTTTAAAGTACGAAAAACATCAAATATTTGTTTGCAAATGCAGGTAGTGAAACTTTATTTTATGTGTCAGAAATAAAGCTTGAAATCACAGTGGTTACTTCTTCGGCAGGTATTGGTGTACCGAAATTCAATCTGTACGTTTAATATGAGGTAAACTGAGTGAATAAATTGTATTAGAGGCGGGCAATATGTTTTCCTGTAGTTTCCTTTGTTACACTCCCATCTGTGTGAAACAATGCCAACCACATTTATTATGGAGAGGAAAGTTGCTCCGTATAGTCGGAAATTGTTAAACTACGTCTTCCTGCTTTTGTCTTGGAAAAAAAAAAACTGTCAATTAAAAATCTAGTGCAGTATTAATCTTCAACAAAACGAGGAGTAGTTGCCGACAAATTTAAATGCTGACCACATCGTGCAGAGGAAAGGTTGTTAAATACGCATATTATTTTGTATGTGACATTCACATATTTCAGGAGTAGGTCGTTGACTTCTTTTTCGGTATAATGAACCACAATGAAATAATGGTATTATAACATATATTTTTATCTAATTATATATATCATCTAATTATTTATTTGCATTCGGTGCCTCATTATCTTCAGACGTTTTCGGTCACCTTCGTTAAATATGTCTGGATCTTTGAAAGGATTGATTCAGTATGTTTATAAAGCTGTAAAAGCCACGAGCAATTGAAAGTAATAAAACGGAGCGCGCTATCAATCATGGCACACTGGCGTGGTTCTGAGCTGAAATGATCTAAAATTAAACAATACAATGATTTTATATCATTGTTATCGTTATGGTCAACTTCGTATGTGAATTTGGATGTACTTTGGCATGGCTTGGCATGCAGATAAAACACAACTAGAACATATACGAATTTACTCGCTTCAAAGCTTTTATAGTGGGAAAATACATTTACCAAACAGGCGATTCTTTGATCGTTTGGAGAAAAAGCTGTATTTATGCCTGTCACGCGAACAAGACATTAATATATACACATACATGCAATAACGTTTTGTCCTATATATACACACACAAAATAAATCGTCGTCAAATCTTATGAAAGGAAAGATTTAAACAGACCCCAGACATTAAATTGCCATGTGAAGTTCCGGTGCTTCGTTCGAGTTCGCCAGGAAATCCGATAAGAAGCAGAGAATCCACACTCCTCTTTCCATCTTAGCGCGGCGAACGCTTGTCCATCGCAACCAGTATTTCCCTATAACTACGTGTGGTGATGCGAATTGTCCCGGTTATCTCACCAGATTGCCGAAATATAAAAGATGAGCTGAATCAATTTAACAGGGGACAGAGGAAGAAAAGAGCAAAACCGCCAAAGTTCTCGCTTGGACGCATCTTTTGTGAGCCTCTGTGGACATTATTCACTCCGAAATAGAAACCGCTTTTATAAACATCCGTGCTGACATCTGCTAGCAGTTGTTTACTGTTTTTGGCTTTCTATATTTTAAGGAGTCTGTGTGAATCCATCTGTATGGAAAATGTAATTGTACAGCGTTTTTGTTGTATATTTGGTGAAAATATATTTCTGATTTGTTTATGTCTGCTTTGGGCAAAATAATTAACCTTAATTTAGTCTATTTGGATGAAAAATCAATATTGTTAAAGCAATTGATTAGTACCTAAAGCATGTTTGTGTGTGCATTTATTTTGTTGAGTTTTTCCGCTCCCCATGACACCGGGAAGGGAGGAGGGGACAATGATTTCTTTTAAAAAGAGGAAATATCTTATAAAGTAGTCATTTACAGTGAGGTTTCCACTTAATTGTGCACTTAATTTGCTCAAATATCATTTACAATAACTATACACTGATTTGACAGTGAAATCTAAACAGTAGTAAATCAGTACAAATTTATACCGATTTTTCTATAATTCTAGTAATAAAAGATTATAGATTTGGCGCTAATTACATAAATGCCTAATGATCTTGAAAATTACCCTGGTTAGAAGTATATTACTAATCTAAACTTTGTTGTTGGCATGCTCTGAGAAATCAGAACATTAGAAATGGTTCGCTTCGTTTCTGGGAGGTGGCCCTTCAAATATTTAGAATCAAAGAACCTGAATTATTGATTGGAAAACGAACAAATGCAAAAAATAACTTTACTGCTGAAATGGAAACGCGCAAAATACCCAGAAGTTGAGGTGGCCACGAGCATTGTAGTTATATTGCTATCTATGACAACTAATATGCCATATCAAATAGGTACAAATAAATGTTGCAAATAACCTTTGCCTCGCCCATGTTAACATGTTAATATTTTCATCAGAGATATTTAGCTTTCCTTACCCCTTACTGTGATTATGTGTTTGCTTTGAAGCTTTATAAAAAGATTAAGCAAATGAGGTACGTGAAAGCAATGTCCACTTAACATATCTTAAACCACACAAATGTGAAGAAATATTCTGAAAATACTGGAGTGTATTAAGTGTGGTTTGCAGTCGTAATAGAAATTAAATCAGGTCATTTTAAAGAGTATAATTTGAGGTGGAAAGCTAATAAATCAGATTTGGAAAATGAGAAGAAATAGACTTGTGAACGTAGCTCCAGTACGAATGTGAGTGGCTATCGACGGCGGCTCGCGGTGCTGACATTTTCAAGCTTCAATTCTGATTGGTTCTTATTTGAAGAAGCTCATGGGTTCATTCAACTATTAAGCGCCTCCCCATCCCTCTAAAGGACATTATAATGCAAGGGACCTCCTTTTTAAACACAAACCGAATTTTCTTTCATTTAGGCTATATATATTTTTAAATAGTTTAAAGTCATAGAAAAATTTTTGGAAAGCATTTCGCCCTGGAGCGGTGCGCAATGCTATCCCACGCCGACCTCCTCGATGCTCGCCTCGGTGAGTTGTCACCAAACTCCGGTCTTCAACTCTACTGTAAGCTGGTGGAACTTCTAATCTAAAAAAATCAAGCAGAGAAATTGGCAATTTGTTTCTTATTTAATCTTAATCTGATTTAAGTAAAGTAATTCTTTCGCAAAGCAATTATTATTTTATTATGCCGTAATTTGATTTAGCTCATTTCAAATATATTGATGTGATCAAGTGGACTGAAGTATATTTAAGGAAGAGATTAATTGTGCATGTTTGCAGTCGTTATAGCCCCTAGTTTTTTCATTTAGTCTGTCACTAAGTAAAATATAATACGTATTAAATGATTTTATGCATTTGTAAATTATTCGTGTATTATGCTTGATGCTGGTTAAACCATTTTTTCCTGTGATGCAGGATTTGCCTGTTTGTAAGCCAGTCGACCAATTTACCTTATATGACATTGTTTTGCAGGGATGAAGGATGCCGCGGTAGAGCTTCTGGGGCACAGGGAGGCACTGAAATGTAGATTGGGATCCGGGGGTGCAGACCCCGGGCATTCTGGTGATCTAGCCCCGGGTTCCGACGCTGTTGAAGGAGCCACGCTTCTCCCAGGAGACGATATCAACAATCCTGGATCCAATCCTTCCGGCGTGCAGGTCAACAACAGTAAAGACCAAGAAAAACAGCAGCAGCAACAAAATCCCAATCAGTCGAGCGGGCAGCAAAGCCAGAAACAGAAGCGGCACCGGACCCGTTTTACTCCGGCCCAGCTTAACGAACTGGAGAGAAGTTTCGCCAAAACGCATTACCCAGATATCTTCATGAGGGAAGAACTAGCGCTGAGAATCGGTCTCACAGAATCACGTGTACAGGTAAGCCTATCTACAAAAATTATGCAATACATTAGCTAAATTAAACACAAAACGCTAACAATAGAATTTGCTTGAATCCGAAGTGTCGGGTGCGTTATGTAGTACTGTTGTATGATTCGTCTTTCGGTCTTGTTGAAATAAAAGTAAAAGTTAAAAATAACATTCATAAGATAAATTGAATAAGCAAATCGATACAATAACATTGCATGAACTGGGAAATTTGACGTATATTTGTATAAGCAGCATTTATTTGTAAATATGCAATTAGCTCGCCGAAAGATACGATCTCGTAACAATATACAGAATCTAAATAGACACTATTCATACGAAGATTCAAAATTTGTCTTAATAAATGTCTGTGATGGTGGTTGTTCATGGTCACTATAATGGATGCGTTCATTGTCGCATAAATACTCACAACCAAATAAAAAACAAAAGTTAAATTCGACAGTTTAAAATCGAACTAAAACACGCATGCAGATAAACAGCAGAAATAGATATGAGTAATCAGGAAGTAACGCTCGATTGTGAACAGTCAAATAAAAGTATGTACTCGGGTAAGTCTAGAGTTTATCTGTAGGGGTAAAACATAAAATTTGCTTATAATTACTTCTAAAAACTGTATTTTACTCTGTTATTCCATATTTTACATTACTTATAACCTAACCCGCACATTACACCGCGAAGCTATTTGTTAACTTTAGTGACGCAGCGTGAAGTTCACGGCCAGGTAATAACATTAAGAAGAGCCGGTAAATAGAACAGGAGAAACGGCTGGGATATGACCATGGTGATGAATATTCGAGTTCAAATTATGATTCCAAATTATAATAAAAACATTTTCCCATATAACACTTGATATAGGCTTAGATTTATTCGACAGAATTTATTGAACATGTAAATAAATATAAATAAAAACACTTAAATTGAAATATACACATAGTAAAGAAGCAAATAATGTTTGTATTTTCGCAACCGTTTTTTCAACTAGCCTACTATAATTTCGCGGTTTATTTTCATATCGTTTATCGGGGGTTTAAGTATATATCTATATCTCTCTCTCTCTCTATATATATATATATATATATATATAAATAAGAGACACGCAATATCAATAAATGTGTCATGTCTAAAATGATTTTATGCGCTTTACAAATTATAACACTATATGTTAAATAATCGTTTATTTTCTTAAGCATATTTACAAGACAAAATTATTTAGCAAAATAGTGTTTGATGAAAAATGTTTTGTTTTTTTTTGCCTGTATTCAGTAGTATTGGCGGCAGTTTTTAAACATTTTGTTTAGAATACGATCAAAGATATTCATGCAGTTTACTGTGAATCTATTAAACTTATTTTACTGAGTAATTATTGGCGCTTTATCCATTAGTTCAGTAAGATGTTCTTTTCTATGGCTAAAACATGACGGCTCATTTACCTCGTTGGTAGATTGGCGCGTTTTAACTATTGGTAAATTAGAAAATATGCAGCATTTCAGAAGACAATAGACGTTACATACCTAGTCTATTTCTAGCAGACTTTTATTTTTATCTGATGTATTGAAGTTCATTAAGTATGTATAGCTTTTTTAGGATAGTATAATAAAACCAAGCCCGTTATTACCCACCAATTTCAGAATTATTTATAACAGGAATGGCTTATTAACCAGGAATGCGAAAATCATGCAAATGAGAAGATCATATGTAATATAATAAGCATAATCATTAGTGTCTATCATAGATTAATTCACATTCAATATTCTATTTGCATAAAAATGAAATTAGAACCTTGCCGTGATAAATAGTACCCTTTATCTACAAATAAAATCATGGTTTTTCACTCACAACAATGCAAAGAATATTAGTTTTTTAATACCGGACACATTGAGACAATATTCTGCTTTTTGCAATGGAATGATTTTTTTTCTCCACAATTGCAATAAATTCAGGATTTCACGCGTGGTTGACGGAATAAAACTTTGAGTGGAATTTTAAGTTTTAATGCGCCGCACGGCTTCTCTGCCGTATCCCACCATACCTTTCCGATAGAAGCAGCTTTCAGGCGCACGCCAGAATAGAAACCCACGTTTTACTATTTGTTGTACTATAGTTCGTAAGTTGGGTTCCACTGTTCAATGCAATTTCTTATAAATTATAAAAAAAAAAACAATAACATTAATAACATCGGCGGAAGCAGCAAAAACAACAACGATAACAACAACAGCAACAATAATAGTTGTTATTATTATTAGTGTATGTTATAGTTTCGATGTTTAATCATTTTATTTAGTGATCTTACTAAATTAATAACAAAATATTATTACAATGATAATTCACGTCGTAATTCTCCAGTTTTATTTCTTCTGTTTTATGGGTCCGCCCAGTACCGGTTGTAAAGAACAGTAAAAAAAAAAAAAAACTACTGTTATGAATGACTAGTATTAATAATGGCTGTATATTATTGGCCGAGACAAACTGAAGATCTGAAGACTGATAAATTCATTTGTAATAAAGTGGATTAAATATAGTTTATATATATATATATATTATATATAATGTATTTTATATATTATTATAATATTTTTATTTAATTTATTTTATGTATATAATAGCATAAGCAAGTCAATTACACTGTTAACCTGAGGAAAAATACATTTACATTCGAATGGATAAGGTCCAAAATGATATAGGATTATATAATATTATTATATATAAAATAAATAACTTTGGACCTTATCGATTCAAGTGTAAATTTATTTCTCCTCAGGTTAACAGTCTTGCTTATATGCGCGAAAGCTCAGATGTCTGAATCATTAAATGAAAAATGTATTCATTATAATTTTTACGCTGCAAAAATATATTTTAAATCTAATGCAATAATATGCAAAACATAAACATTTCCAATAGTTTAAATAACTACATTTATATTTCGTCGTTTTACGGTTTATGCAATTTATAAACATGTGTCTGCTCTAAATGCCTATTGCTGTTTTATATGGCTTTATGGAGATGACTTTTCCATTCCAACCAGCAATTTTAATGAAAATATACATTAATTTCAATGTCAGAAAAATGTTATGCTTATTCTGACTGTTTGCGTAAACTTGTTAACTGTTCTAAAGCAATAGAATTTATCCAGTACTATAGTTGTTACGTCGTCATTTCCTCCACACCAGGTTTGGTTTCAAAACAGACGCGCCAAGTGGAAGAAGCGCAAGAAGACAACGAACGTGTTCCGCGCTCCGGGTACGCTGCTGCCTACTCATCACGGCCTGCCACAATTCCCCTCTGCCGCGGCCGCTGCGGCCGCCATGGGCGACAGCCTCTGCTCTTTTCATGCCAACGATACCCGCTGGGCCGCGGCAGGGATGCCTGGCGTTTCTCAGCTTCAGCTCCCGCCCGCTTTGGGCCGACAGCAGGCTATGGCGCAGTCCCTATCCCAGTGCAGCCTTGGAGCTGGTCCCCCTCCCAACTCGATGAGCCTGTCCAACATGTCATCTAATGGCTCCGGGCTGCAGTCACACCTCTATCAGCCCACATTTCCTGGTATGGTGCCCGCCTCCCTCTCCGGTCCGGGTAATGTGACCGGCTCTCCCCAGCTCTGTAGTTCTCCGGACAGTGACGTCTGGAGAGGGACCAGCATCGCCTCACTTCGCCGAAAAGCACTGGAGCACACAGTCTCCATGAGCTTCACCTAATGATGATGATCGAAGGAAGCTCGTTTTTTTCCCGCCTTTTTATGCCAACATATGAGTAACACACCAGGAAGTCTCAGGATGTAAAATTCTTCAAGCAAAAACGGAAAACGGAGACTGGTTGTGTATTTAGGCGAGTAAATTTTAACCACATTACCCATGGAACAAAAATAGGCGGACGCTGCAGGCATTCAAGGAGTTTATGTATTATTGAATCCATTGTTTTTGCTTAAGTCTAAGTTTGTCTATTTATTTATTTATTTATTTATTTATTTATTTAGCATATCTTAAATTTTTGTTGTACTTTTACTCAGTTCCGCTGGGGTTTTCGTAAACGTAAAAATGCGTACAGTAAAATAAGCTGACATAAAGTTATTTATACCTTCTGGTCTAATTGTTTTACCTGCGAAACTTAATAAGCGGGGATAAGGAGACGAAGTCCAAAGCCACCTGCACTGCATGCGATAACGGACTCCAGGCATGCGCAGTGCACGTGCGTATTTGGAACCCTGGTTGTTTGTACAGTTGGAGAAAAAAAAACACGATTTAAACATGATTCAACCCAGAAGAAGATGAAGAAAAAAGAATGAAAAAATACACATGAAAATCAATAAACTTTCAAACCTGCTTAGTCTGCATGTGCTGGCCAAGTTAATACACCGGGGAATTATTATTTATAAGACAAGAAAATAAAATTTAAACTGTTATATAGGATGTTTTGTGTAGATAAAGCATTCTTGTTATCTTCTGGTCAATTTGTGATATGTTCTAAGTTATTGTCTGTGCTTACTATTGACACTGGATTTCCTAAATGTTTGATCTTATACTGATACATAATTTTGTTTCATGGACATGTTTATATCAATTTAATGTCAATGGATAAATAAAATAATTTTCAATATGTCACACAACGAATCTGTCTTTGTTACCGCTCTCACGATTTTACGTAATTACATAATCTTTGATTTCAACATAAAATATACAGAGCTATTCGCCACACGCTGATATTTGGTAAACCAAGTTGTATTAAGACTACTAAGTAAAAGTACAAAAGAAAAATGATTCAGTCGTATTATTAGAATACTAGGTTAGAATAAATAAATAATAGAATAAATAAATTATCTGAAAAATAATTGTATTCTGATGTACATTGGAAACCTAAAAATAACTTAAAGATTTATTAATTTATTATTATTATTATTATTATTATTATTATTATTATTATTTCACGGATGATCTTGCTACAGGAGCGACATAAATAAATATAAATATAAAACTCGATCAAATGTTATTATACAAATTGCAGTATGATTATTATTGTTACTATTAGGCTATATGTTAACACGCAATCTTGCTTTGATTTAATTTTATTTTTACATTAGTTTGCACCTAAGTATTTCTGCATCGCGAAATTTTACTGGATCTTGAACCCATAGATGTTGCCAACTATGGTAATATCTTTATTGATGAAATATAACACATTTTAAAGGCTACCTCGAAGACAACATTTAAATGGTAATGTTCAATACAAATTCCGGTGCAACAACTGCACGCAGTCGGCTAATATACCGCAATTAGGTGAGCAAGGAGACGGATATTACAACAGCCTTTTTGTTAACGTGATGATATTGTTAAAATTCAAAATACTACCACTAATACTATTGTTTTCCATATATTATTTAGGCAATTACTAAGTTATGTAAACCCTTATTAGTGCCATAATAACATCACCCCGGGCTGGAATTCAGCAATTTCATTGTAGGCGAGCTATACTGAATTTTAAGGCGGTTATATTAAACGTTAACTAGTGACAGCGACCTCTACCGGGAAGAACCTGTGATGCAATGAACCGGGAAGCTTGATTTATAATTGCTATCAGCATCCACTCCCATGAAGAGTTCGAGATCTCTGTTTCAGTTTTGTGAGTTATAATGCACATTTATAACCCCAAGATGAGTCCAGAAGTGGATATTGACGTTTGAACAAATATATACTGGAAGTTCTGGGAATGTTGGTAATTGGGGTTATTAATTCCACTGTCTTGCAGCTGTATTTAAAGTGTTTCATGAACTGGAGACAAAAGATTAAATGACAAGCTGCACCTTGTATGGGAGAAACTCAATTATATACATTTCTGTTGTTCTTTTGAGCAAAATATGTAATATATTCATAACAATAAGTTATACCAGGGGTGTTTTTGCTGTTATGTCAATTATGTTGGTAAGTTTCTCCTGATGATGAAATGTCCAAACTATGTGGACACATAGTGCTGGGAAATGCTACAGAGGTAGTGCACACACACATTATTGACTTTTATACCTGGTAATAATAATTGTGTCTGTGTAATAGTGTCTCATTTGAAAATATTTGGCTAATTTAATTAGCTGGTTACATGCAGGACTTCAGATATTTGACAGGTTCTGACAGGTTTGCTTTTTTAATGTATTTTGTTGCCTTAAAATCACATCAGGTTTCCCAGTTTTTAATGAAAGAACCCTGACAGACTTATAATTTGTGATGGATGGAAGGATAGATAGATAGATAGACAGATAGATAGATAGATAGATTCTAATATTTTTGTAGTCCATAACGACTTTGAATTCAAGTGTAATTTTTAACTTAAATAATTATTTGTTTGTCCAGAACACTTCTGACAGCTCTAGAATATCATATAATGAGGCCAGTGTCTTTCTGTTGTGGGTAAAGTGATTTTTTTACAGCATTTTCTTTGTAGGGGATGAGATTTCTGTCTCACTCTAAGGGAGGAAAAATGACACATTATGTGCCCTAATGCAAACATCAGCTGTCCGAGCTATAAGGCCTGCAGCTTTGATACAGCACGGGCTGAGAGGCTGAGCCTTACCTGCAGCCTTAACAGAGCATTGAAGGGAAACCGCTGCACCGCTTTCAGCTGCAGTTCTAACACACTTTCTGACACATCAGGCTATCATGATGTGCAAAGCGCTGAGGCGTGGCCTTCGCCAAAGTGAGCGGCAGGTGATCAAAGTCATAATCAAGATCCGTTATTGATTAGTTCCCTCTGTCCCCTCATACTCCTTTATATGTATAAAATGATGTGTTGCTTTGGTCTACCCTTAGTAACATGAATACCCGTTGATACCTGTCCAAAGACATCTTTCTCCTATGCAATCATTCTCCCAAACACATCAGCCCCTTGCTTGTTTCCACCCTTATCTGCGAACTCAGATCCTGTTCTAAGAATTGTATTTGTCTGATATTAGTCAAGCTCCATCCTTTCCCATCCTAACCACAAAACAGAAAACTCCATAAATAAATTTTCAAACCGGAATCTGATACACTGATCTGATATGGAAACAATGGACTATCAGATTCCAAGAATCCAGAACACTGCCTAATATTATAATTAGTTTGGGCAAGAAATAATATTAAAAGATGCATCATTATGGGTATTTTTCATCTAAAAACCTTGAATAACATAATCTCTGATTATTCTGATCTTATAAATATGATTCCAGGCCACGCAGGGGACACCCCGGAGAGGAAGCATCCATTGCAGGGCACACACACAGAATAATGCAGTACAGGCAATGCCAATTGAGATGCCAATAAGCTTAGCGGCACATCTTTAATTAAACTGCATGAGGAAAATCCCAACAACACTTGGAGAACATGCAAACTCTGCACATGGAACGGAGGTACAGTAGGGTTTGAACTCCTGACAACAGCATAACCTACTGAGCCAACAATTACGTTTCCAAAATTCAAGAACAAGCAGTTTAGTCAGCTGTTGCTGAGCACAATGAACAAAAACAAAAAACTCAAATCTTGAGAATTAACATCTATAGAAATATAAGCTTGGATATTTGTGTATCTGTCTGTATTTCAGTACGTGAAATGGTGATACAAAATACACGTGCAACAAAGGAGAATTTTAAATTTTGGTAACAGATGCGAAATTATATTACAGAAATATAATAATTAGTTTCAGTCTCACCTGGGTTAATTAGTTTGTGGAAATGTGCAACCCATTCTTCATTAGGTAATTTTTCACACCTTGATGAGAGAGCCAAATTGTGACCCACTGTCCATAAGATCATGTATCCCAGAATGCTATGCAGGGAGTGTATCATGGAAAATTGGAGGCAAATTCTTGTTTACTAGCAATTCATCTCACACCGATAAATGAAATCAGTCAATAAACCAGCCAAGTGTGAATATGGCTTTCTCTGTCATGGATAATGAATGAAGGCTCATTCATTTTCTATAGCCAAGTATATATGTGTGTGTGCAATTATAAAAATTATGTAAAAAAAAAATGTTGCTATGGAATTTGTAGAAATCTACACACACACACACACACACAATAAGTACCATAATAAAGCAGCAATTAAAAAAAAACTAAATGATCATTTTCAGGTCACAGTGAAATGTGAGTTACTTTCCAGGAATAACTGTAGTCTTATTCAGCCTGGGAAACATGCAAAGCAAATGCAATTTAATATTTGTAGTGCCTGACATAAAATTATTTTAAAATGTATTTTTAATAAGAAATACTGTATTGGCCTCTGGCAGCAATAACTTCTTGGGAAGTCATGAAGCATTTTCTGATGGTTTGTACACTACCCAGTAAAAAAGTTTTTGCATATACTGAAATTTTCTATATTTGCCTGTTATTCACTTAACATTTACTAAAAATACACTTGATTTTCTTTGCTAATAAATAAATTTATAGTATGTTCATCATTGGAGTACCTTTATTAGCAAGAAAATGTCATATCTTTGATTAATCAAAGTAACCTCCTCCAGCAGTCATAACAGCAGAGAAAATTTGAGGTATTCTTTCCAGAATGTACAATAAACACTGCTCTGTTTCATGGGATGGAACAGTTAACTAGTGCATTTAAAGTTAAAGGACAGCCTAGAATTTGACTCTGCCATCACCACACAACCAGTTAATAGGATGTCAGACATGCACTGTTACAACTGTTACACTGTTATATATGACTTATATTTTATTTATTTATATTTTATATTATTATAGTTGTTCACTCAACTTTCCAATACTTAACAATAATAAAATATCTGCAGTTTATGAAATAAATGGAAAAGTGGTAAAAACCTTGTGGTGTGAAAAACTTTTAATGGTAGTGTATGTATGTATGTATGTATGTATGTATGTATGTATGTATGTATCTATCTATCTATCTATCTATCTATCTATCTATCTATCTATCTATCTATCTATCTATCTATCTATCCATTTAACCCATTCATTCATTCATTCATTCATTCATTTATTCCTAAAACTTGGTGGCTTTGTCAAAGTCCTTTATTTGTCATGTGTATGATGAGTCATTGACAAAGCTCGAAAAACATTACTCAGACATAGACATACATAAAATTTAAATTTAAAATTCACTGCTCCTTTAGAAATGAGTAAATCTTATAATTTAACAAGGCTCATTTCTGGCCTTGCCATGACTTCTTTGATCTCAAAGACATTCTGTTGGACTGCTGTGGCTTCGTGGATCAGCTGCTTCACAAGTCCAACTCTGATTTCTCTGCCAGCTATAATAATTTCGTTATTTTATTGCTAATGATTGTATTCAAGTGTAACACAGCAGAGATCCGCCTGAGACTCGACCCAATAGCTTTCTGTAATGCGATCTCCAGGTCCTTCCCTGCACTTTAATTGCACATTTCATTGTGAAGCCAAAGTTTTTCTTTTTATTCATGTCCAAGGATTTTGTTACTGTAATACAACTGTTGAAGCCGTAGTGAAAGAAAACAGCTTGTGTTTGCAACTGAGCCCTCGAATAAATGAGTCCCATAATTGAATCTTTGAAAACAACGGCCTTCAA